CGGCTAGACAAACATACAGTGAATTACAGCTGCTGCGGCAAAAAAGTAAGCAAATAAGTAAGGAAGCAAGTAATTAGGTAACTAGACACTTAAGCAAATAAGTAGAATAAATTCGTAGGAAAATCGCCAAGTACAACATCAATCGTCAAATCGAAGTTCTAGCAAAACTTGCGCCTCCTCTCTTGGACAATTCAGCATAAAAGAGACTGAGAAAATTACACTAAAGCAGCCCTCGGTATTCGCAGTTACGTATTTTCGCGAAGACTAAGTGGGCTCTGCGAATGCACTTACTAAGTTACGATTCTGCTCCTGTGTTGAAGCTTTGAAAGCTATCGTTGGTGACTGTTGGCGCAAATATGTAAGCCATTTTTTGATATTTTCCTTGGGCACAAGATCGATTTTGTTCAACAGCAAAACAAGTCGCTTTCCAGAATTCACAACACTTTCTTCGACACTTCTGCTGCGACTTCCCAGAGGATCGCGTGCATCCAACACCTCAAAAACGATAACTATGATCTTTTTTTTTTCAAATAATTGGTCAACGAACGGGCTGTCCTTGCGAAGATGCATTTTTTGCATAGTTCTTAGCAGTTTTTGTCGCTACCGATACCGATTTTTCCGACAAAATGCTTCCAGCTAAACAAATTAAGACCGGCCGCCAGAACTGCCAGGAAACATCCCGTTAGGATTTCAGCTTTCTAGCTTTCCTGGCTCCCCAGTTAGCAAACTGCTCGAAAAAAAAAAATTCACGGGCCCGTACCACGTATATCCAATGTCCGGGTTTGAGCTCATTAAAACCCAGTTGAATGGGGAACATCCCCTTAAAATTCTAATTCTTTAGCTTGTCAGGTTCCTGAGTTAGCAAATCACCCGAAAAAACTTTCACGGGCCCGCAAGTAGGTACCACGTAAACCCGATGTCTGGGTTTGAGCCCATTAACACGTATGTGGACGGGAAACATTTTCTTAAAATTATAGTCTCCTAGCTTTTCAGATCTCCGAATTAGCCCATGGACTCGCACGTGGATGGAGAGTTGTGTTTGGGCATGTTGAGGCCTACATGGATGGGGGCCCCCCTTAAAATTTCAGCTTCCCAGCTTCTCTGGTTTCCGAATTCGCAGCTTGCCCGTAAAAAACTTTGGCGAGCCCGTACGTGGGTATCATGCGGGTGAGAGCGCCCATTTTGGGATGGGGGCCCGTACATGCACGCAGATTAAGTTCCCAAAATTTCAGCCCCGTAGTTTTTGTAGGTCTTGAGATGAAAAATCGGTACAGACGAGCACACAGACACACACACACACACAGATAAGCCCTTCCCCTCTCCCCCTCCCCTTCAATATGCGTTTTCTGCATTGCACAGCTGCAAAAAATGCATAAAAAGAGAAAACGCACTGAAAGCGAAAACACATGAATACACTCCAGTGCTCACAGCTGACGACTGACAGCTGCATGAAATTACTTCAGTTAAATTTGTTTGAAATCTAGTGAGTGAAGAGACTGTTCAGGAAAAGTAATTCAAATTTCCTTGTTTTTTGCTAAATCCCAACCGTATTTACCAATTGCACATAGCTCATTTTTCATTTTTAATTCTCGATAGAGTGGTCTCCAAAAAACAATTCAACCTGCCCCACTGTTATGCAATACACTGTACTTTAAACTCCCGCCAGTGCAAGCTGGCTTTATATGTACGAAAAGGCGTAGGACTGTAAGATTGCGTGACGTTTCTGCCACAACTGCATTACGCAACGTTATTCTAGAAAAGAAAGGAATTGAAAAAAATGCCCAACAACTGAGAGGAATAAATAATGGCAGTGTCGGAACAATTTTTTTCACAAATTTCTCAGCGAGTGCTTGTTGCTCAGCACATCTAAATGTGCATTCGACTTCTGCAAAGCAGCACGTTGAACAGTGGCCAGTGAGCTGAAATGTGAGCAAAAAAATAGAATGCTGTGTATTTAAGTCAACGACCGAAAAATGCCTTCCCCCCTCCCCCGGTTATCCCTTTCTTCCGACCCTCCACGATTCCCGTTTTCACTCTTTCTGAGAGGCTTGGGTACTCGAATACAGCCAAAGTGGCAGCAAGCGAAAGCACCATCCATCCGTTAGCAAGACTATCGATAATCCTAATTTTCGAAAATTGCTTAGAAGCACACTGGTAGGAGCTGTGACAATCTGGCACCTGCCAGTACCAATTATCACCGACAAGAACTAAAAAATCATACACGGCCTGGATGAATCACTGGCCGAGTGGGGCCTTTAAATTTCAGCACCAGGATAGCGCTACGCCTGCCAATCAGTGTTTCAGTAACAACTTGCAGTTATGCAGTCTCAAATTCAACTGCTTATAAGAGAGGAGCAGAAAGAGCTGAACAGCGATTTCACGTCCTCGTTGAGGGACCAAAAAAATTTCAAATAACTTTGGCTGCAACAGTTTGAAAATGCATGGCTGATAGATGAATAATATGCACATAAACAGAATTTCGACAACATACATTTTACGCGCAAGATATTAAGATTAATGAGATGACAACCTCAATAATGATATCTGCAGATTCAATTGTCTTCCGCACTTCACTTGCATACTGTTTCAGTGTCTTCTCACGTATTTCTTCCAACTTTTTCTCCGATTCATCCTCCCCATTGAGTCGGTTCGACATGCCATCCGCCTGCAAACACTCTAACGCATGCATAGCCTCAATACAATACATTATTAGAACACAACTAAGCGTTTCTTGACAAAAACTAATAAAAAAATAAACAAACAGAAAAAAGCACCAAATGAAAGCTTTAGATGGGAAAGTTGTTAGGGTTTTTCTGGTTCCTGAATTAGCAGTTTGCCCGTAAAAAAACTTTGGCAGGGCCCGTACGTGAGTATTACGTGGGTAAGGAAGCCCATTTTGGGAATTAGGGTCCGTACGTGCATATAGATTAAGTTCTCATAGTTTCAGCCCTG